TACTCTGTTTATCACATTTGAAATTCAGAGCAGATGTTGCATAATAAGGTGATCCCAAAAACAAGGCAAGAAATTCAAAGAACACATACTCCACAATAACGATAAGGATCCTGGAAAGACATTTTTTTCCATCTAATATCATGGCTGGACTAATTATTAATAGACCATGTTTTTAAAAACACACATGCACACACACATCTGTCCTTGTGTGTAATGCTGCTTTTGTAGTAACATGAAGTAATTTCAAAAGAAAACGCATATGTGAAAGATGCCTGAGAGGACTGTTTAATAAAATTAATTTTTAATAAGCAAAGTACAGTGTCGTAATAACACTAGTTCTGGGGCAAAGGACCTCATAGGTCAGTCATGCCAGGTTGATTTTTACTCTAGGATGGGCCTCAACTTAGAGCCATTTAACTTAAGGAGTTCACTCCTGTGCTGCGGTTGGATCGCTTGGGCTCATTGCTCACCAGTGCTATTTCCCAGACAGTAAATTTTCTTCGTAGTACCCAAGATCCTATGTTCTCTATCCCCTTTCCCTCCACTGCTCCTCCCACCCATCGCCGGCCCCACCACCACCACTGTCACCACACCCCCACTTTCCATTTAACCAACTGAGCCACCCAGGCGCCCTTTCCTGGTTCTGCATAGCTCTGCACCAGCCCTCTCTTCCGTCCCTGGCTTTGGGCTCTCTCCAGCCTGTGTCCTAGGAGTCTTTCATTTTAGTTCCACTACCTTTCCACATTGATGTAATACTTGACGGGATCCGCCTTTACAGTGTTTTGTCTAATCCGTGTATGCACATTTCTAGACCCTTATTATGCCTTATAAGAAGCACAGCATTCAGGGTGCCTGGGTGGCTCAGTTGGTTAGGCGTCCAACTCTTTTTTTTTTTTTTTAAGCATTCCCCAATTTTTTTTTTTTAAGGTTTTATTTATTTATTTGACAGAGAGAGAGACAGCGAGAGAGGAAACACAAGCAGGGGGAGTGGGAGAGGGAGAAGCAGGCTTCCCACCGAGCAGGGAGCCCGACATGGGGCTCAATCCCAGGACCCTGGGATCATGACCTGAGCCGAAGGCAGACGCTTAACGACTGAGCCCCCCAGGCGCCCCAGGCGTCCAACTCTTGATTTTGGCTCAGGTCATGATCTCAGGGTTGTGGGATGGAGCCCTGTGTGGGGCTTCTCAATCAGCAGGAGTCTGCTTGAGATTCTCTCTCTCCCTCTGCCCTTCCCCTGTGCTCACTCTTGCTCTCTCTTGCTCACTTGCTCTCTCTCTTTCTCTCTCTAAAATAAATAAATCTTTAGGGGCACATGAGTGGCTCAGTCATTGGGCGTCTGCCTTCAGCTCAGGTCATGATCCCGGGGTCCTGGGATCGAGCCCCACGTCGGGCTCCTTGCTCGGCACGGAGCCTGCCTCTCCGTCTCCCACTCCCCCTGCTTGTGTTCCCCCTCTCACTGTGTCTCTCTCTGTCAAATAAATAAAATCTTTAAAAACTAAATAAATAAATCTTTAAAAAAAAAAAGGTACGTCATTCATAGTGTATTAACCATTGTGCTTGAAGGCATTCTATTTTTTTTTTTTTAAGGCAGGCATCTGGACTTGCCATCAGGAATGCAACCTAGATTATAGTTTTTTTTCCTATGGAAAGTCAGCTTCATAAACAGTCTTTTGACTTAACAGAAATGTTTTCCCCACACAAACCACACCCTTCCCTATGCATGTGCTCTCCCGACACAGACACACAGAACTGGGAGGGAATATCTTTAAGAGGAACATCAGCTACAATGCTCTGAGGAAGAGGTAAGCAGCCAGTCCAAGAGCAGCCCTCGGAGTAGCACCCGCAGTTGGCCATCGACCTCCGGTAGGAGAGATCATCAGGAGGAAGTGAGTCAACCCTGAGTTTTCCCCGAATTTTGGGGGAAATGTACAGTGTATGAGCTATGTATGAGTGTATGTGGTAACTTCCAGTGAATCAAGAAACTTCTTCACGGAGAACATACTTAGATAATCTAGATTTTGCGGACTCCCCCAGAAAGCAATCCTTAGGCAGTTCCCCAAGCCCTGGAGTAGCTGAAAACATCGGAGGAAAAGGACAGAATTATGCAAAATACATGATTATCTAGAAGTATGTAATAACGGACTATAACAGTTATTGAGTGGTTTGGATTTTTTTTTTCCCTAACAGGAAATAGGGGTTAAAAAAAAAAAAAAAAAGCTAGTGTCTTTCTAAAGGTACTGTAAGACTTGACTCACTTAAAATAAATACTGACTCACTAAAGTAAGCAAATGACACTTTCATCAAGCTAATAACAGGTAAGTTGGAATCGTGTTAGAAAATGTTTCTTCACCTTAGGCATTGAATCTGTTTATAGAGCCCATTAAAAGGTTGCAGGCTGTGTATACCCAGTGTGTATCACCATGGTGACACATAGCAGAGGGATGCTCTGCATGGAAGAGGGATATTCCTCATCTAAATTTAGCCTGTGCCTAAGCTCCCTGGTTATAGTCTTTTTGCTCTCTCTCTTCCTCTAAATGTTGGAACATTCGAGGCTTCACCCTCAGCCCTCTTTTCTTCATTTCTATACTTTCTGGCCAAGTGATGTCATTCAATCCAGAATCTTCAGATATCATGTATCCTCCAGACTGACCCCCCCCATGCTCTAAATGCACCATATGGTATCTCATAACCAAAACATTGCCCAAGGATCCTCTTCCCAGTTGACGCCCCCTCCCCATTGACCCCCGTTGTTTGAGCCCCAAACCTAGGCATTATTCTTGGTTTCTTGCTTTCCTTCACAGTCTTCATCCAGTCCATTAGCAAGTACTTTTGGCTTTATCCCCCAAAGATAGCCCCAGCCCAACTACTTTTCAGTATCTTTATTGCTAAAGCTCTAGTCTAACCCATTCATACCAGCTTCCTAACCCAATATGCTGTCTTCCGTTCCTGCCCCTTTATTGATCATCCTCAGTGTAACAACCAGAGGGACCTTACTAAAAAACATAAGTCAAAAGTGTTACTCCCCTATTGAAAACTTTTCTCCAGTGGTTTCCTATGACCTGTAGAATAAAATCAAAAGTCCTACATGATCTAGGGCTCTTTCTAACTACACCCTCCAAATTCCAATCTGCCCCCACCCTTCTCCTGGTTCACTGTTCTTTGCTTTCTTTCTGTTCTGCCGCCATGCTTCCAGCTCAGAGTGTATGTACTGACTGTTCGTGCTGTTTGGAATGTTCCACGCCTCTCCCTCCCACATGGTTCTATTTTATCTTCTTCATAACACTAAGCTGAAATTATCTCAATCATTTTTTATGTATGTTTGTCTTTCCCAACTAGAAGGTAAGAGCTCTGAAGTCAGAACTCTAGTTTATTGCACTTACCCAGTGTTAGCATACTGTCTAGAATGTAAGGGACACTCAGTAAACATATGTTGGTCGCTCTACTAACGTGCTTACCTCACTAATCCTCTAACTAATTCTGAAATGTAGGAATCATTTTACCCATTGTACAAGTGAGTAAATTGTATTTTTTCAAGAATAGATCTTATATGTAAATATGCATACACACATACATAGAAGAATAAGCTGATATGATATGTCCTATCTCAATACACGCCCTTTGTGCTTTCACATTCAACTCTTTATGATGGGCAGGGACGTTGAAATTATCCACATTGTAACCAAGGATTCGTTTCATTGACTTGGTTTAGATGTAGTCTAAAACCAATAACTGATCTCCACTGGAGCTATAAAATATTTTTTCTGTTCATATAGTACTGACTTAACAAAATTCCAGAAATTACCGTCTTTCAATGTTGGATTCTAAGGATGGGAAACCAAATCCAATGAAGGGAATGATTGATGCGATGAATCGCAGACCCTGTTCTCATCTCCCAGGGATACATATCTAAAAGATAATTCAGTAGTTACACATTTTTTAAAATTTGAAGCTAAGTTTGCTGTAAAGATACATTCAGGATCATGTGCAAAGTTCCTCCCTATCCCCACCAGGAGAAGTAGCAGCTTTGAAGTTAAGTTACTTTACAAAATCTAATTGGAAATACTCTCCTATGTTTATTCATTTGCACTTTTATCCTTCTTATCCAAAAATTGCAGATACTCATATGCATTGTGGAGTTTGGAAGTTAAGAAAGCACCATTCTGCTAGAGCAATTGCTTAATAATTTACAATCAGTACTTTTTAAATTAGTGAAAGGCATATAAAGATGGTATCTATCAGTTATCTAAGATGGTATTTTATTCCTCATTCCTAAGCAAGGTGGAAAGGACTAATCAATCCTTTCATTGCAGTTAAGAAAATCATTCTTGGTTCTGGTAAATATTTGTTAAATGAATAATGCTTTCACAAACACTTGTGTAACGAACCCTTGAAAACCCGATAGTGGCGGTTCTAAGAATCAAATACTTCCAGTGTATGAAATATTGTTGCGATTCCTCTCGTTCTGCTTTTCCTCTTTCTCATCATTCTCAAAGAGCAAAATGCTCCAAAAAGTTCGACTCCAGTAGAATATCAAATGAGGAGAGTTTGACCTGAATTTGGACTTCTGTATCTGAATCAGGGCCTGATGGCCAAGCATCTGGGTACTGTGACACTTGAAGTCTTAGGAAGTGAAAGATAATTCCTTGAATATTAGAAATAATCAAGTATAAATCTAATCTCTAAAAATTCTTGCTACTACCATACAATGGTAAGCTTAATTTAGATGCCTGGAAAATAGACTAAACCCAACAAATTTTGCAAAACATGAGTTCTATCTAATAAAGGGTTAATGAAGTTAGGTAAACATGATGCTGTGTTTCTCCCAAGTGTGGTCATGAATCACCTACATAACTGCCTGGGGTGCACACTGTATCAAAACTAATGAAGTACTGTATGGTGCCTAACAATAAAAAAAATAAAAATAAAAGAAATATAAATAAATAAACAAACAAATAAATAAAAATAGTAGTCCTGCCCTAACCAGTTCCTCTAGTAAGTACCCTCTGGTGATGCTTATAGACACTGCAGTTTAAAAAAATATTCTCCTTCAGTGTGACATATGACAGGACTGGAATGGGGAATGGAGTACATTCTGAGATGACTCAAACCTCTGAAATATTTGCTTGCTGTGCCTGGGTAACCCCAGCCACAGGAAGGTTCAAATCTAAGCTCAGGTGAAGTCAGGTGTGGCATTTTAACTAACGTCGCCCATACATACAACACCTGCTTAATAACACCGAGGTTTTAGGAGTGTCTGGGTGGCTCAGTTGGCTAAGCATCTGCCTTCGGCTCAGGTCATGATCTCACGGTCCTGAGATTGAGCCCCACGTCAGGCTCCCTGCTTCTCCCTCTCCCTCTGCCGCTCCCCCCTGCTCGGGCTCGCTCTCGCGCTCTCTCTCTTTCTCTCTGTCAAATAAATAAAATCTTTAAAAAAAAAACAAAACACCGGGATTTTATTCCTTAAGATGTTCTCTTGGCAAATGCTAACTCGCTAATAAAAATTAAAAAAAAAACACTTAGGAATATGAGAATTCTAATTAGAAGTTCTTAAGCCACCCTAAAGTCTTATTCTTTAAAAAAAGTTGTTCATGACACATCATGATTTGACCTTTGAAAGATGCTTTTTGTTTCATTTCGCTTGTGTTTTCACAGTTGTCTGTGGTCTTGAATTAATAAACTATTACCAGACTTGCAAGTGTAACTGGTTCAGAATTCTGAACTGTGTTTTATAGATAAGGAACCAAGTCATGTGCAAGTTAGGTGGATGATAGCTTTTTTAGCACTGACAGCAGTGCCAGACATAGTTTTCAGGTACTTCCTTTGAGGCACATGTATTAGAAGCAATGAGTGCTCAGAAATACTTCCAGTTATCATTATAAGCTTTTTTTTTTAAAGATTTATTTGAGAGAGAAAGAGAGGGAAAGAGAGTACATGAGCAGGGGTGGGGGGCAAAAGGAAGTGGAGAGAGGGAATCTCCAGCAGACGCCCCACTGAGCACGGAGCCGACGCAGGGCTCGATCCCAGAACCCTGAGATCATGTCGTTATAAGCTTTTAACAAATATAAGCTGGTAGCTTTGTTGATTTTTATATTTACCATTGCTCTCTGCTGTCCCTAACCATACTTGTTCATTTTTCCTTTCTTGGACAAAACCAAAGAAATATTTATCATTCTATTCTAGTATAGTCATACCACTTTTAGATTGGAAAGCTAAAATAGAACATAGCAGGAAATTGGGGACCACAGGGCACAGGAGGTTTCACTATGAATTAAGTTTGGGAACTGCGACATTACAGGTTAATTAAGTCTACATTGAGCAATCAGATTTTGATTGATTTGGAAACAGTTATCCTCAGTTTAAGATGTTCTTTGGATATGGTTAGTATGGAATGAACACTTGAAGTGCTCCTTGTTGACATTTTAATATCACTTATATATGATGTTTTAATGTTCAAATCTGGGACTGAGAAATTCACATCACCCATAGCTGAAGACCTGAAGTGTTTGTTGAGACTAATTTGGTGTAAAGGCTGTAGGCAAGGGCCCCGCTTCCCTCTGCCCCCTCCTGTGAAAATATATTCCTGTCAGCAGGATGGGGTACAAGAAAGGGAAGAAATAAGATGGTGGTAACGAAAGGAGAATTAATTGAATAGGTCCCAGGGAAAAAGAAGAAATTTATAACCCACAATAACTCCCCCAAAAGTAGCTTTTTAAAAAGCATGTGATTACGTATAAATATCTGAAACATTACATTATTCTTATTCCCAATCACAGCAATTTATCTTGTAAACCTAATTAGTTCTTTAATATTTTCAACCAGATATAAAGGATTGGTTGATTCATGTCTTCAGTGCAAAAACTATATGAATGCCAGTAAATGACATAGAAGGACAAAAATGTCGGTTAAGTTTTGTCTTTAACATCATCTGTTCTAAATGTGGCAACTGTACTAATGGCCCTTGACGTGCATCTCATCATTGCTGTTCAGGCCTTGATTGAAAGCACTTAGGAACTGGAAGAAAGTGAAATATAAATTACATTAGAATGAATTAAAGAAAAGAGTTGCATTTTGGTATCCTCCCAAGCAGAGAGATTTATGAAAGCATCACCCACTGAGAGAAAGGACTTCTTTCCTTTTCTGTTTCAATTCTACCATCACTTTCACCAGCAAGGTTTCTCAGGACCTTCTTACTTTATTTATCACTGAGTTCCATAATTAACATATGGTTCATGTTATTGATTTCTCAGGTTTCAAAGTAAAATAAATTGAGCTTTCTTCCACATTTAGAATATACAGTTTTTTTAGGGAACTCTAAACAAAGACACGCATTATTTGTAAGTCTCAGACAGCAGCTGCCAGAAAACAGAAAATTAGGAATGGAGTCATGGGTGAAATAATGGAGATACTGTTCAGAGGTAACCCTTTGTACAGCAGGAAATTTTCCTTAGGAAAGAGACAGCTGAGTTTGCTTGTAAATTTTGCTAGAAACAGGCATGATTTAGTAACATTTAGTGCTGGTTAGGAGGCTAAAGACAGAACTTTCAGCTTTGGATACCAAGCAAGTGCCCTCTTTTATGGTTTTGTATAAAGTCTAATAAACACTTTATAATTAAAAAAGGCATATGTGTATGGGGGGGTCACTGTTAATTTTCTTAATGAATAGAATAACATATAAGCAAATATTAGATCTGGGAGTAGAGTTTTCTAAGCAAAGCACTAGATATTATAACAAAGGAAACAATTCATGGATTAGACTATAAAAATTTTAAACTTAAATTATTATAAATAAAACTAAAAGGCAAATAAAATATTTATAAAAATGTTGACAAGTTTAGTATCCTTAACATATAAAAAGCTTTTATAATCTAATAATTTATCCAGTGTAGATATGGAGAAGGAATATGCACAGAGTCCTGAGGAAATACATCTATACAGAATGGATGAAACATAGGGGAAATACTCAGCCTTATAAATAATCAGAGAAATACACATGAAAAAGGAGGATGTACTAAGATTAAATAAATGATGAAAATTCATCTAACAATGATTTTTGCAAAAAAAAACCATATTTTTGAAGAATAATTGCCCAAAGAAAGACAAGCTCCAAACTGTTTATATAATATCCTAAGTTTGAAGTCCATCTCAAGTACATGTGTAGAAAACTAGGAGGAAATATACTAAAATACTAATAATAGTGTGTATCTCTGGTGGTATTACGGGTTGTTTATATTTATAGTCTAAAGTGAGCACATACTGTTACTACACGAAGCCATATGAATTGCCAGTAGTCGACTGCTTTTGCCCTACAAAAATAGTAATTTCGTATGATTCAACCTAATATTCTTATAATCCAACAGGGTATCTTTTTACGGGGAAATATTACAGAGGAGTTTAAGTTCTTACATGTGAATCTTTTCTTTATAGCTCAACATAAGTATAGCAACATAGTATCATTTTCTTTGCTGTTAGGCAACACAATAAGACCGATTCTGTATAAAATAATCAATGTATATACGTTAAAAGCATTTAGTACATGCCTATCGATGCTGATATTGATAAAATGACAAACGTTGAAAGAGTAGAAAAAAATGGTAGGTTTTCCAATAAGACTTACTGACACCATTGTTGTCTCCTTTAATCTTATTGTCATTTTACCATTAAATAGTATAATTGGGCTATGGAGGAATTTCACTTGATTGTAAATGGAGGAATTTCACTTGATTGTAAATGGAGGTAAATAGAGTTTACTACTGAGTATAGAGTAGTAAACTCTATAGAATGAAGTTACAAGTCTGTACTACGTGGCAGGCATAGGTGTGGGTTTTTTTAATGCACATTGAATGTTTCCACCATTTTTTACCTAAAATCAACTTTTCATCCTCTTGTTAGAATGAGCTCATAACAATCTTTGGACATTTGTGTTTATTCTGTACCTGCTTTAAAAAAAAAAAAAAAGTAACGTTTCTCTCAAACCCTGGACTGGACTTTACAATGAGATTACCCAGAAATAGATATTATGAATGCAAAATTAATTTAATGAAGGGTTGTCAGACGTCTTCCCAATTTTTCCTGAAGTAAGATACTTGAGACTCGAAATGCTAACCCTGATCTTTGGAACACACATTTGCCCTTACAGTAACATGAATAACACTTAAGACAACCTGTATTTCTTCAAAGTTAAAGGGGGGAAAGTGATGCCAAATGGAATTTGGGTGTGTGTTTATTATTTTCTAAATTTTGGGCGGGGGGGAGGGGACCTTCCTTTAAAGTCTGTCATCTTTTTCCATTGTACTCCTTTTGAACATGTGAAGATGAAAATAGACGAGTGTGGGTGATAGTAAATGAAAATTGTTAAGGAATACATCATTTTCAGAATGATAAATGTCTGCAGCTTTGGTGGTCCCCTTGTTGAGTTTAGAAAAGTGGCATCACCAAGCAAGCTATTCAAACTTGCTTTTATCCCAGCCTGAATCATCTATACAGTAGGTAAAATTGATGTGTTCAGCTGAGCCCTGTGAGCCGTAAGCCCTCAAAGGCAAATATTCTCAAGGTAGAGGCAACACACCCTTGATAGTAACCTAAAGCATCGATCGCATAGGAGAGAGCCTCATTTCACTGGGCTACAAACCACTGAGCTCTCTCTCCTCTAGTCAAAATAACAAAGTTCTAGCCTCTGGTGATTGATGAGCATGTTGCCAGGGGAAATGGACTGGAAAATCATCGCCTTGTCTTTTACTTGCCACAGGAAAGCCATAACAGAGATCTCTATTCTTCTTGTTCTGATAAGAGGCCTAACGAAGCATCCAGAAGGGCTGGGAAGCCTGGAAATGTTATATCCAGCTGCTTGCTGGATTGCCTTTTAAAATACGGTTCGTAGTTCCCTAACTCACAAATCAAACGTGTGTGCAGGTGGATAGCCTTTAACAAGCTGTGCAACTTGTTGACCACTACAATGTGGCATTTGAGCTGAGAGAGGCTATTTTAATAAGTACCGGTATCCCATTTAACTTAAAAATATGCATTTCTAGAACATGTCTCTGTAATGAAATTACACATGCAGAGTTCTTCTCCTTCTGGCATTGCTAAATTGGGTATTTATAGTCTGGGAAAACTTGGGAGTTCAGAAATGTAAGCTGGAGTTAAATTCATAAATTTGCAAATAATAGTTCATGGGAAATGAGGTGAGACGCACCCCCCAAAGCACCCCTCTTGACAGAGCCTTTGGTGGGAGGCTGCAGAGCTGCAGCAGAGCCTGTGGGCATCACACCTCAAGCTCAGGATTTCACCTGCACAGGTCTTCAGTAATATTTGCAGAATTGATTCTGAGAGATTCCAATTCATACCATCCAGTTGTCACATAAGAGAGAATGTCTGAAGTTGAATGGGATTCCTATCTATTGACATTTCCACATTGGTCTTGGCCATAATGACCTATTATTTAGATAGTATGTTCTCAGCATCCCTTGGATTCGGAATGTTTAAATTTTCATTAAAATACTACTTTGTGGGGTCACCTGGGTGGCTCAGTCAGTTGGGCGCCTGCCTTTGGCTCAGGTCATGGTCTCGGGGTCCTGGGATCGAGTCCTGCATTGGGCTCCCTGCTCACGGGGAACCTGCTTCTCCCTCTCCTCCCTGCTTCTCACTCTCTCAAATAAACAAATCAAATCTTTAAAAAAAATACTGCTTTGTGATCAGAAAGCAGGGGTCCTTAAAGACTGTGCTGGCAATGACCGTTTTAAAAAGGTTCAGTATAATACTATAGGGACACCAGGGTGGCTCAGTTCGTTAAGCGTTTGACTTGGTTTGACTAGGTTTGACTTGATTTCGGCCCAAGTCATGATCTTAGGGTCCTGAGATCGAGCCCTGCATCGGGCTCTGTGCTCAGAGGGGAATCTGCTTACCCTTCTCCTCTGCTCCTCCCCCCTGCGCTCTCTCTCTAAAATAAGTAAACAAATCTTCCCAAAATTAAAAGGCTCAGTAGAGTACTATATAGTTTATTATGTAGCATTATGTAGTATTTTTAGAAATGTGTTTAAGAAATTAGCATTTCCATTTATATAAGCTCTTCCTCTGTTTTTTCCAGGCCTATGGTCCAGTTCTGAGTTAGAAACATTTTACACCTTTCCTAAATGCAGTAGATCTCTCTCAGATTATATTTACAGAAATAACAGCCCGTCCACTATTTGGTGAAGGGGGGCCATGCATACTATTTCTTTCTTTCTCTGGTCTTGTGCTTCTTGTCAGGGTGAGTTGGAGAATTTTGTTAATTCCATTTACTGGTGGAAAGATAGAATGCCTATTCCCTGCAACTAACTCTTTGTGGCCAAAGAATGACCATCCTGACGCCGCCACTCTCACGTTGGCTTTGAGAGGTCCCCTTGGAAGTGGATGCACACGTGCTTGCATTCTGCAGGGTCAGCTTGGTAATGCCATAGGTTATTGTGTTCTCTTCTCCCTTTATTCCCCGTCTCCCCCGCTCCCCCCCAAAAACGAGAGGCCTGTCTAACTTAGACCAAAATCTGCACATTGTTCATTTGCTGGATCCCCTGGTTGCTGTGAGCGTTCTTCAGTTTCTCAGAACCTGGCTACATCTTTACATCATCTAGGACACTTTAAAACTTTGGATGGAAGAAAAAAGTGAGTTGAATAGATTCTTGTTTTTATGAGAGTATCCACTACTTCAGAGCACCAAAATTTCACTCCATGCCATGTCCAGACACCAAATTGAGGAGCCTCTTTGTTGTGCCTTTTTGAAATGCCCTTAGGGCTTCCCAAGTTTGTTAAAAAACACGAAGCAGTACAATTTTCCTATTACAACTTTCCGTGTTTCTCCCTAAACTTGACTTTTTGAGTTGTACCCAAGATCATGGTTAGCTGACTTCTCTACCATGCTTGCTTTTGTTTTTATTTTTTAATTTATGAGCCTTTATTTGTTTGTCTGAGCTGAAATCAGCAGGGCCTAATCTCTAACAGAGCCACCATTTTAAGTGACCACCGGCAGTCTGATTTCTGATTCTATTAAGAGGAGAAAGTGGATCTTGCCAAGGTTGGGGCAGATTCCCCAACCTTGTAAAACGTTGCAGACAAATAATAGCTTGAACTCGAGATTCTTTTGTGTGTGTGCTTGTACATGTGAGAAAGAGTGAAAGAGACCCCCGGGCATAGAATTTTTAATCTGGACAGCACCATGGTAGTTAGCTAGAAGCAAGAGATACCCTGTTGGCTCCTAGGCCTTCCTGGAAGCTGCCTGCTGGAAAAGCCTCCTTGGAGACGATTCTCCTGTGGCTTCCCTTTGCCCAAATGATGTTCCTGCCCCAAACCTGAGAAGGCCTCGGGAGAGGAATACTTCTTTCGTCTGAAGTCCTTTTGTTTGCACCTGGGAGTCTTGCGGTTTGTCACTCAGGAAAATAAAGCGACATATGAACTCCCGGCAAGTGCTACGTCCTTGGTTGGAAGCGGTTTGTAAAGCGTTTTCTTCCGGGGTTGTGCGCACTCCGTTGCTGCCGTTGCTGTCATCACTGACCAGCTGGCTGGTTGGTGAATAGAGCTGTGGGCCCCTCGCCATGTTTCATGTGAGGTCTTGGCTGGGTGGCAAACAGGCAGCCTGTAGTCAGTGTCAGCAATTCAAGAGGAATTGGCACAGCAGTGTCCCCATTAATTTCTGCTTGTCACATACTGTCATGCAAGTTACACCAGAGAGGAAATGACCGTTAAAAAAAAAAAAAGGTACCCTTGTGGCACTGGGTCCCCTCCAGACGTTCCCCGAGGTTAAACAAGTGGATACAATTAGCTCTACACAGACAGCTGCAAGGACGGGAAAGCCTAGAAGTGGGCCCCACAGCAATGTGTCTTTCCTGTTAGCAAGAAGTGTCAGCTATCAACATCTGCCAGATTTTAACCCTTCAAAGGGACCGGTAAATTAAGGGGAGCTATTATCCCACGCTCGGCTGATCATTATCAATCATAATGCCTTGGGAAATTACCACAGTGCTGCTGCCTTGGTGGCAGGTTTTGTCCTTTGGGGAGCGTTTTTTATGCTTTCGCCAGGAGCAGAGGGGAGTGGTGGAGGCAAGGAGGGTGAGGGGAAACTGGCCCTTTAATCGTGGGTAATTTACTGCCCCGGGGAAGGGGCTGGAGGGCAATAAACTCCTCTTCGGTTCAAACCCAAGTCGTTAAAATTGGTGGGCTCCAGACAGCCTCCATTTCCAAAGAGATCCATCTTGCCGACTGACTTTTGTCAAGCCGACTTCACTAAGAGCTATGGCGGCTCTGAGAACACAGACCAGCGCTTGGGGGAATGAGAGCCAGTTTTAGAGGAGGGGGGCCATCCAAGATGAGCAAAGAAAACTCTGAGATAAATTAGAGGCTTCCAAAATCTGTTTTTATTTTTTGAAAGATTGAAATGCTTAAGGTGCTCTTATCCAGAGTCCTGACTGACCTTTGTAAGCACATACTTTGCGTTGGGGTAGTTTTTTTTGGTTTTTTTTTTGTTTTTTTCCAAGAAAATCGGATTGCCGGTATGGGAGGATGGATAATGAGATGGTTCCATGTAGAACTATGTTTGTTGAAATTTATTTGTCTGAACTCATCATTAGAAGTGGTTTAGAGAAAAATAGAGAATGTTTATTACAGTTTTTAACCTCCAACAGGTACTGAGTTCATATTTGTGTCCTTGGAATGTTTCTCTTCTGAAAAGATACCGTTTTGCTCGGGGGAGATGAGGGTTTATCAGACAGGTGTTCTGAAACTGATCAGCAGGGATGATCGTACGACTATGAGCTGATGGTCGCCTGTGTGACTGCACCGAGAACAAGCCATTGGAGGGAATAATCACACTTTGGGTTTCACAGAGTTCTTACTTAATGTTACTGAGGAAAATTCTGGCACCATTTGACATAATTTTAAGTGAGGGCTAGAGGCAACCAGTAGGGTGATTGAGTCGAAGTAACACTGTGTCATAGTATCTGGACTTCATCTCTTTCCTCTGGAGAAGAAGAGGTAGCATGATCACCAAGGACAACTTGGAGAGAGTATCACCGATGAATGTTAGAGCTGTTCCAATTCTTTTGCATGGGTATAGGGTCTAGTCATTTCACCCTATTTGGTATAGGGTCTAGTCGAAGACCCTCATTTTATAGATTGAAAAACAGAGGCTCAGATTGGTTAGGGACTTGTCTGAGATCTCACAGTGAAGCACAGAGAACTCAAGTCTCTCCTCCCCAGGTAAACTATTCATATCGTTCCGTAGGCTGACTCAGTACACCACCAGGAGTCCTGGCCGATCTGACCTGTTGACAGCAAAGAGTAGGAGGGAACTACAAATCTGGGGTAGAGGTGACTGTCTTCAGTAAGGCCACAGTCAACTTCTGCCATGATGTCAGGCTGTACATGTGATGTACCCATTTTAAGTTGGCCCTGTTGGAGCAAAAGATACTAATTTTAAAAGACAGTCTTCCTGTCCAATTTTAAATGTATCTAGTAACACATAAAAGTATTTCTTAATTTTAATGTCAAAATATTATATAGACAGGGAAATTTGCCTCTTTAGGTATTCGTAATATTTTATATACTAGATTGCAAAGGACAGTCAGTGAAGTATATATAAATGTGAGTTCATGTGAATATATGTTCAGTCTCTAACTATGGGATCTCTTCTTGTCTTGGAGATGGGTAGACTATATGTGAGTTTTTCTTTTATTCATGTTATTGATCTCTGATTTTAGGGATAGTCGGCAATTAACTTCTGCTTGAGCTTAGGTGAATATTGAAGCATATAATTTAATAAACTAATGTCACGTTTTGATGTTCAGAAATGGATTTACTCACTATAAAGGAGATTTTTATTTCAGTTAAAAAGGAAAACAGGAACTAAATTATCCTTATTCATGTTTATTTTATTATTTTTTAAAGATTTTATTTATTTATCTGACAGAGAGAGAGAAAGCACAAGCTCAGGGGGAGCAGCAGGCAGAGGGAGGAGAAGAAGGAAGCTCCCCGCGGAGCAGGGAGCCCGACGTGGGGCTGGATCCCAGGACCCTGGGATCATGACCTGAGCCAAAGGCAGATACTTAACCAACTGACCCACCCATGTGCCCCTACTTACTCATGTTTAAATAGCATTGTTTTGTCAAAATTGT